ACGATTATCAAATCGATTCTCGACTTTTGTGCACAAGCTTCCCGGTACCAGGTGTACTGATGCACTTTTCGATGCTCGAAGGTGCTCATAGTGGACAATCCGTTGTTTCCACAAAACCGTAACAACTTAATGCCGTTATTGTTAAGGTCTCTAGGACCGTTTTTCCTAATCACGCCGTTCCACTTTTCTACGTCTACTCCGACGTGCGCAGTAAAATATATAGGTATTCAAACGAATGGTATATATATATACCGGTTCAAATACTTTGCAGCCTTGATATAGTGTATGTATTGAATATTTCATTCGTACTTTGGTATTCATGGTGAGAAAGCAGCGTAAGCCACGATTAAATACTACCGAATGCAAAAGACAGACTGATGAGACACGTGTTTGAAAAACCCAACGGTTCTGCTCGTGTCCCACGTTCCTTCTTCAAGGTAAGTGGCTGGTAAAGTTTCCTGAATGTGGTTGGTCGCCCGCAGCATTTGGCAGTTTCCCAGCTACACGGCAAGTTTTCATTCTGTGCTGCTATTTAAATAGTTTATGGGCGACGAGGCTCGTCCAATCCGCGCAGAGTTTCTATCTTTTGACATTTTGGTAGGTTTGGATGATTAATACTTCGTATATGCCGGTGTAGCCAATATCTCTTTGATGATGCCGCTACACTCAAAACATCATGGGAAGTGTCCTTGCTTGGTAGCATCTGCACAGTGCCGGAGGTCTTGCATTCTTCTCTAACTTTGCTGAGTCAAGCCTTTGTTTCTCATGGGTGCTTCGTTATCACTCGTCGCTCACCCTCGTTCGCGACCCTCTGCGTTCTTTAGCTTGAAATGTTACCTAAGTTGAGCTTGACTTTTTTAATCGATGTAGGAAATTTTCTTTAAACAGCATGTTCTCGTTGATTATCGGCACTGCATTCATCGAGAGGCTTGATAGCCAAACAAATTGCACTTTCCACAGACGCATGCGAAGTTACCCGTTTCTCCTAGTATTCACCAGCACTACTATTTGCGTATTCCAAGTTAGCAAGAGAACTGGTATGATGATTTGTGCAGCGCATCTGACTAAAATAAGACCGTTTTTGTATCAATCCGAATAGTTTTAGAAGAGATAGAGAGAAGTGATGAATATCAATGGCAAAATCGCAGTTTCCTGACGAATAGCTCAGTTAATAGGAAACCATTCAGGTGGCTGTTCTTCGACCTTAACGGCACACGGTTTGTTTCTGCTAAAATCGGCTTCTTTATCACCCGGAAATCAAACTTCATGATAAACCCATCCTTCATAGCTGATATGCACGTGAAAAATGGAGGTCAAACAGCAAAGAGTGAAAAATTTGCCTCGACTCCAGCAGTGACACCACTGTATCAGAGATATAGGAGGATAAGAACCGCAGCGCTTTGGAAACTTGTTCAATATTTGGTCTGAGAAGGGAGAAACTATTCCTACAAAAATCGCAGGTACATTGCCTCTGTCAGGCAGGTGTCGTTGCACGGCAAGAAGATGTTCTAAGGAATGGTCAGAACGACAGTTAAACTCCGCACAGTAACGTTGGCTTCAACGCATAGTGAGGGTTAAACGGCAGGATTCACGTAAGGGAATATTTCCTTCTACGATGCAGTAACCGCTGCTTTTTTGCAAAAGTGTTTTCAAGATGCAAATAGAGGAGACATTACAAGCCAGAGGCGTTCTGCCTATGCAAACAGCTTATGGCGATGATTTCAACAAGTACACTGAAAGTTCTCCATTCTTACGTAGTCTTCATTACTTCTTAATGGACGCAAAAAAATATTTTGCACTGTAATTTTGAATTTTTGTCGCTAGATTAATGAACTTAAAAGCACAGAATTAAATTGTACGCTATGAAGATGACGAGAGACACCGCTTTCAAAGTTTTTTCATTCGAGTCGATCAATTTCAAACTCCAAGAATATCGCCTTTGCAGTGCAGCAGACGGCTGTACCATCATAACATGACATTTGAGAGTTTAACAAAAGTCAGCTTGTGTGCATGCTTGGCAGATGCTTCAGATTCACAAGTTGCGGCTGGTGCAGGAGCGATACTTTCTCTTATCATCGTCTATTTCAAAGCGTTTTCAAACCTAGACGGAAACAGATAATTAAGTCTTCTAAGCAACGCACCGGTTTTGCTAGGTGCCGTCTGTATATGGGATTTGGAACCTTCGTTTTTTAGACATCGTATGACTTTCACATGCTGAAGCTGCTGGTCTCCGCCCTTTTTACCATCGGGCATCGGAAGCAACGACGAGTTCATGTTCGTTTTTCTTCTGAATGCCATATTTCGGATTCGTGCAGATAAACTTTTGCGGCGAGCACTAGATCATACAAACTACCTTGTCGTAAGACCTGTTTACAGTCGGGATAACCACAGTCTTGCGATTTTAGGATTATAATTGACAGAAGATATTTTCCATCGAAGCATCTACTTCTTCTGAAGTTGCAGTCTGTTCGTCTGTCTCATCCATTAATTCGACAGCAAGGTATTTGCTGCGTTGCGCAAATCAGCCATACTGTAGAAATTCACAACAATGAATATGAAGTGCGAGTGCTGTCACAGCGAAATACGCAGTGTTTAAACCGTTTTTTGACATTCATTATTTGTTTTGAAATTTGAAAGTCTGCAGTTTGAAAGGGGTCACAGCAAACGCAGTTATTCGCTATTTATAATAAATATCATAGAGGCTTCACACTGGACACGATGAAACTATCATGTAACTGTGAAAATCAAAAGCAAAATATGGCAGCATAAGATAAAACGCCATACAGCCTACGGTAATAAACACATCAAAACTGAATTACTCTCTAAGAAGAGGCATCAATTCGTTAATAATTTTTCGTGCTAACTTATTTCAAAATAATTTGGCAGTGAGGCTGAAGATCATTATCGTGTTTTGTGTAGTGGCAGCGAAAGAAGAAAGAACAATTACGGATACAACGCGGATCGGCGAATACTGGAGCAAAGAAATTAAAATAGCAACGGGTTGTTGATAGAAGATTTATGAACGTTACACCAAGAGTTTGTTTTACTCGATCTGAAAATGGAAATCACCAGGGAGATGTGCTTTCGAATTTGTTACTCGACATTGTGTTCGACCTTTTTCAAAGAGGCGCTGGCCCTGGCAAGCATGTAGGTATCGTTCTAGGTGGAAGGTGCAGTTCAAAGAATCTGATAGATATCTTGCTTACCCGGAGTACGCAGTTTATATTGCTCTGGTGAGTAGTATGTAGAGTATACTCTGGTACCTGACGGCTTCCGTTTGCAACACAACTGCAAAAGTTATGAGCAACCCATTCGGCACTGACAAACTATTAGCGGAATGAGAAGTTTGTCACCACTGGAACGTCGGTCTTCTTTCACTTTCAGGCCTGGGCCTTTTTAGCGCCCTTCTTTTTTATAAAGTTGATGACGCGATACTGAGCTCCGTTTCTACGTCATCAGCCTGGAGTACCTTATTTTAAAGGCAGAGCCTACTAAAATGCGGTAAAAGCGTCTCATGCTTCCTTCCTATAGAACGGGACTCACTCATAAACCTCGGAAAGACCGACGAGTGAACCTGATAGGAGCTTTAACTCAGGACACATAGGTTCTAAGTTCGACACTATCGACTGAGTAACACTGAATTGAAGCAATGTGTAGTAAATTCTTGCTAAAGGGCTAAGACTTCGTGAAAAAGGCTAAGACTCTCCTCGAGCGGAACAGAGAGGGAAGGCCGTTGAGACAGCAGGACATTTTAAGTACGTTAGTTCAATCATCTTCAGCAATGACAGTGTACAATCAGAATTAAATAGGAGAATCAACTTTGTCCACCTGCTTTCGGTACAATGCCTGGGTTGAAAAAGGTGTAATTCTTTCCACTAACGTCTGCCTCCATCATGACTGGGTCAGGTTAATGCTGCTGTATGGCATGGAAACCGCTGTTCTACCAAAGGGGCAAGAAAAACGGTTGAACTGCAAACTGCAGCGTATTGGTTTCGATGTGCAATTAATATTAAATGGAAGAACCACCTGTGACTGACGTAATGACTTTGACGTTGCTCTCCTCCAAGCGCAGGTGATTTTAGTAGACGTGGAGATTGAAAAAGAAAAGGTTGACATTGTTAGACAATGTAGTTAAACCTCAACTATTTACTTAAGTCCGCTGGCTTCTCGTGTGAGAATCAAAACAAGACAGACCTCAACTAGGAGGCAAGAATGCCTCAGCATGAATGAACAAAGTAAAGACAGAATTTTTCAGAGAAAAATTTATTCCTTTAAGATGTAGTAACCGGTACCTTATAACAAAAACGTGGAAATGGGTTGTGGATAGAGCGGACATCACAAACCAGATATGCTCTGCTGATGTAAACGGCTAAAGGTGATGGCCTCAACAAATACCACTGCCACCACTTATGAGTTTATGAGTTTTGCAACATTCTCCGTAATTTCAGGGCGAAGCTGAGTTAAACTGATGGATGTGAAAAAGATCACAAGAGCCTCCGCTGCTAATATGCAGTCTCTTTATGATAGATAAAGTAAGAAAAAGCAGTTTTCTGCATATGGTCCTTGACAAGTACTTAAGAACGTGTGATTTCATTTGTAATAAAGGACTCTCTAAAGCGGTACTGTATGAAAAATTGAAGGGAACAAAATTATAAAAAGGTTACAAATTCAACTATCGCGCTAGCAACTGTTCACTAAATGGGTAAGCTGAAACATAAACAATACAATATGAATTCGTGAACAAAAGCAGGACTGCAGCTTACAGCAACCACTCGAACAAGGGGCTGATAAACGAATCTCTCTCAGTAGCTTAAATATCTTCAAACTTGGATCAAAAGTGAACCGCTAAAGCATCGAATGAATTCGTTTTCATAGGTTATGATGCGTCAAATGCTTAACTTCTGAAAATGAAGTTAAAGGACTAAATTAAAGGTTAAAATAAATACAGGATCAAAGATTATCTTAGCTGGCGTTGGTTTATTACGGTCTACACTAAGCACCTACCCGTACATCACCATTGCGTCCAACGTCGTCTCTCCCGTCTCGTCCGGCGAGCCGCCATAACCGACTGTGCCATCGCACTGCAGCTCTTCACACACAGTACAGCCGATAACCACAGCGTCCAAGCTGCTGCCAGTGGACATCATATGGCACCACGCTAAATACAGTATAATGCAAAAAACAACTGCGAATAAGTGAAGGATGTACCGTTGTCGGTCGCAGTAACGAATTCTGGCATCGCCCATGTTGTGATGATTAACGATGGCGAATTCATTTGACCGCGGTTACATGACTTTGGGATTTTGTTTTCCGCAGCAATTATGACACACGCGACGATGGTGCATAATAAAACGAAATGCATACGGTTCCTCATTTGACCGAGAGCAAGTCTAACGAAGGAAAGGTATTTCGCAAGACCAACTACGAATCTATTTGACATATTTTACCTTGCAATAACCATATGCCACTCCTCTGAAAACGAAATTACGCGCTGATAAAGCGGGCAACGATCAAAATATTGTGTACGTTGGGATACTGCGAAAATTTTAGCAATGGACTGACGGATCTTATGAAAACAAAATCAAATATATTTAAGGGAAGACAACTAAATAACGAATGAACTGGATACCGTAATCATTCTATTTCTTAGAGAATTGAATGAAATTCTGTTAATCATCTGAACTGAGGAAGAACATTCAGAAAGATATTTTGCAGTTGACTGAAAGGAACACCAAGATAACGCAGGACGAACGTCAGTTGAAAATCGAAAGATAAGCAAAGATCATTCATACCCTTTGGATCAGGGAAAGAACCAGAAATACAATACAAATCGTGCATTACAGCTTTAAATGACTGAATACATATCTCAGAAAGCTCGAAAGTAGTGTATCGATCCTTAATTACAATGATAACTGCTTTATCATCAAAATGACAGTTCCTAAATAAAGTGAGTCCACATCACCTTTCGACATTTTCCAAACATGTATTAGGATAATAGCCATTCAATCAGAAGTTAAGTCACTCTTCGTCAAAACATGTCTAGGAAGATTTTTAAGCAGGCACGCAGCGATTGATATTTTGAGTTACAATTCGCATCATTTTTTGGCTAGAAAAATACTTTGCTTCTCACCACCGAGGCTTCATGGACCCACATTCATCATATGCTTTTACAAAAATTGAAACCATGGGTTTATGTGCCAAGCAAATGTTAACTATGATAATGATTAAGTTAATGGTCTCAGGAAATTGGGTTCCACATTTACCTGATGTCCACTCAAACTAGGAACATAGGTCACTCCAAAAACATATGCATTTCGTAAATCAAGCACGATGATCTAAACCAAACGACTGTTTTCGCCTATCTTGGAGTTTAAAAGGTGAAGCAGCTAGATGTTGATTGCATGTTCCGATGAGAGATCTCCTAGATTTCATATCTGGCTGCATCACTGGTACCGCAAACAAAAGTCGATAAAAATTAAAGTAAATAATTAACACATGGAGTGAATTAAATTAGTTGTATATATTTGTGGACCATTCAACATCGACTGAGAGAAGTTTCGCTATATTAGAAAGTAGTTTCTGAAAGAATCGTTCGCAACGATGCTTCGGTATTTAATATTAATGCTGATGAATCGACAATTCCAACTAACCCTTAAATTTGTACTTAACTTTACCTTAATTAATCGCTGCATTATAAAATCTGACACTTTCCGAAAAGTGACGGTAAGGAATTCCATATAAGATACCGTCGTACATTACAAATAAAATTTATTCAAAGTATAAAACAGTATGAACAGAATAATCTAATAAGTTTTCGACCTCCAATCAAGAGCTTCTTCAAGAGTTACATCTTCAGGAAGTTCGTCTTCAAGGGATTCTTCGCAACTTTCGTATTCGAGCTCTTCTTTTTTTACCTTTACGTGTTTTGTGATTTCTAACTTCTTCTCGAGGTCATTAACCTTCGACCAGCCCCTTCTAAACAATATCAGTTAAACCAAAGATTTTCCAGATAAAAACTAAATATCGAAGCAACGACTAGAAGAAAATTCTAGTAAGCGTATAAACGCCATTCTGAGCGAAGTTAAGTTCACAGCTCAGAAAGTCTGAAGATAAGATAAGCAATATATGATATTACGAAGGAAGAGCATTAGCTGAGGTTGCTGAGGTAAATATGGGGTAATTAAATTGCTGAAAAAGATTCATAATTTGTCTGCCTTCGTTCAATAAATCAGTAATAACATTAAATCAGCTTTTAAAAACAGGTAAAAAATTGGCTTGAAGGGAGACTGATAAATGTAGCTCGGATCGATCTTCGTGTAACCAACATCTAAAAAGAACTTTAACAAACAAACATTTTCTCTAAAACTGATAAGCAAAGTATATCTGTAGCGACCAAAAATGCCAGTAGGATGCATAGAGACTGTAACTAAAACGTACATTTCCTCATCAATTTCTTCTAGATGTCGTTCAAAAGTGAACTCATCGTCCTGCTCGTCCGCCACAACCTCTGCGTTCTAAATAAACAAAATCAATAATTCGAAAATTACTTAAAACATGAAGAAAAATACGGAGGGAAGATTTTAAAAATTTCAAGGACTGGATAAAACATAATTCTAATCCGAAATGCAAACAAATACACGAAGTATCCACTTTTTGTTATAAGGATTATTATCAGGAAATCATTTCGATGAAAACTAGATTTAACTGTAAGGCATTAAACCAGCAAATGAAGGAATTAATAAAAAACGAAGATCCGTAGATCAAGCAAATTTTAATAAAGAATAACATGCCAATTACTCATGCATTTTAATTACTGATATATAACTAAAAGACACCGCCGCTATACTTCAAGCCGTATAAAGGGATCGTTTAAGCAGTCACGGTTCCGTGTACTTAAAACTCTGAGTTCCATAGGACAGATTTTTGTATATGATTTGTATTGATTCATAGCTGATGAGCAGCAAACAAAGCTGAACCGATGTCGAAACTTTAATGTGAATGCATTTCGCTATGTAAGCTGTGGTACTGTCAGGCATTATCCCCAATATGGTCGATAAGAAGCAGCCCATTACATACAAAACAAACAGGTGTAAAGTATGTGGCAGATACAGCACCAGATTTGAAATCTGCATAACCACAACTTTAAATATAAATTTTTAATCTGAACCAGCCATTGCGCCAGTCTAAACTTTCTTATCAAGTAGGTCACAGCATCCCAACCTTCACTTATTACGATAGAGAAATTGTGTTCATCGTACATACGATGTTTCAACACAAAATATGCAGGGTCCATTCAAGAGATCCAGTCTTGACTGATGTCCATCAATTACTAGCGCTGCGTAATAGCAAGGTAGTCAGCCTGTCTACAATTCAATGTTCAGTAGGTCTTTACAACGTACACCTTACTGCAGTCTCCGCGAAGCTGTAAATCACATTTAACGTCTCTTACATGTTGCAGAGGTAAAACCTTTCTGGCTGCTTGAATAAATGCATTCCCAAACTTGTGCGGGTTTTGCAACAGACCAATAATTTAACATTGTTGTGGTATCTTCTGACTGGCTCAGATGCCTGAGATAGGTACGGCAGAATTACACAGGCCTGTTTTAACACGTCTTCATCCAGTTGCAGCTGAGATGCAAACTTTACAATCGAGTGACCTCACTGAATACAAATTTTGGAAAATGTAGTACAGGCTTAGAATTTTGTGTCTAGACCAGAAGTGGTGCCGCATGTTTGTAGCAAGCCCAGACGCATGCTCGTCATTACTGAAAAGATATCGACTGCAGATATCAGTCCGAATAGTTTTCGATAAGAGGAACTCTCAGAATCGATGGTGTACACTTGGAATCACATTGAAAAATGGAATCATCTGGATGATCTCGACCTCCGCCTAAGTGATAAAACGTATACTCTCCATTCATTTAATATGCCAAACATTTTAGCTGTTGCAGCACGTCATTCTTCTACTGGAATAAAACAAAAATGATATCAAAATTTGGAGCGCAAAATAACGGCCAGAAATCTGCTGAATATTCCTTAAAGGTCTTTACTTCCAGGTAATCCAGAGAGAGTCAAACCAAAACAAGATAAGTGGAGAAAGTAAAAGAATGTTATAATTCTTGTGATCACAGATTTGGTTCTCGCTATCAAACAGAGGCGGATTTGCATAAAATTCTAAACGCTTCAGTCTATAAACTCGCCTTCCGGTCTTCACTCATCAGATGTGTTCTTTAACATATCTGAGGATATCCACCAGTGAGTCTGCATCCACGTTATTGAAAGGACGTGACGCTCAACAATGCATTCTTGTCCTTGATGTTCTTTCATCGTTAGTAAATATTCACGATGTTATTTCCGTCTGTATGCAATCCTGCTAGCGGCAGGTATATTAATTAATTCAACTGTTTTGAAATCGAATATATTACTACCCGTCTTGACGAATCATGAGCTGAAATCAATGAAATCTACGACGCTTAAGCAGTCCATACGACGAACGCTTTGCAGGGACCGACAGTATGAGGTATCCTCTACATGCATTCATTCATGACAAATTTCCTCAAAAGACAGAATCTTATAACTCAGGAGTGCATACCGTGGTACCATCTAAATAAAGCACTGCTCGATAGCACTCACCAATTTTTCCAGCTGGATTTCCTTTCGAAACAAAGCCCATTCTTTGTCTAGAGTATCCTGAATTGGAACGTTCCTTACCTAAAATAACGCAACGTATGAATCTTCTTTAATGTATTCAACGCAGTACCTTAGAGTCAAGAACGGGATCATCAAAGAAATTTTCCGGAATCTGTCGCATCTCCTCAATGTTTTCAGTCTCTGTACGTTGACTCTTCGAGGCAATCGAGTCATCATAAGCTATGTCAGCCGTCCCTAAATACATCAAATTCAATCGCATATACGTACACTAGTATTTCGAAGAATTTCAACAATGTTTTCTTCATTTTCTGTAACACACGAGCAATAATCTAAGCTCAACCACATAAAAGACCGGAATCCATTTTCCAATGATGAGAACACCTGCCTTATATCTCCTTAAACTGTCTTTTCATGCTCAGAAAGGTAAATCGAATTAGCTAGGATACGAAACATCCGTAATAATTAAATGACTAACAGAAGTATTTGGGAACCCCATAAGTACAACAAACTCCATGTCAAGCAGTAGAAACGCTAGTCACTGAAATATCAATCTCATTTACAATTCCACAATATTCGGACATTGTATTTACACAATATTCGGACATTGTATTTACTGTATTACACAGTATTTATAGAATAGCATTTTCTCATGAAACGTACCGCCCGCTTTTGACTCTGTTTCCATCAGTCAGAAGTGTGTTATTTATGAAGCACTAGGAATTCTGCGCTTAAATGCAGAATGGGCAACCGGAAGATCGTGGGCCTGAATTTTGACAATGGTCAGTGGTCTCCCCTTTTCTGAGGCACAAAACAACTGATAGGGAAAAGTAAGAGCTTTGTTGACCATCCGTATACATATGTCCTGCTGACCTAGACCGGATCCCACGCAACAGTCTGTGGTCATACCTGCGAGCAGGTGCTGCGTCAGAGTAAATGGCCATAAGTCGAAGTCTTTCAACGCTGGCACTGGTTTCCGCCAAGGCTGCGCACTGTCCCCCTCTCCTGTTAGTGTTGTACAGGGATAGAACAGTCAGGAGCAGACGAGACAATGAGTCTACTGGTGCAGAAGATGTGGCGACAAGAAGGTTGCTGTTTGCAGACGACTTGTTTTATTGGCATCTTCTGAAATGTTCTACAGTTATACATGGAAAGATTCGTAACCGAGTGCGATGTGACCGGCATCCGTGTGAAAGCATATAAAACGAAAAGCCTAGTGCTTTCTAGTTCTCTTGTTCGTTGCTCTCTTCATACTAACGGAGAGACAGTGGAGCAAACGGAGAATCTCAAGTAACTCGGAATCGTATTTATTAGCGATGGAAAATTTGAGGAACAGATCCACCGACGAACTGAAGTAGCCAGTGGCGTTCTGCTTGTGCTAGTCCGATCCATTGTGACTAAAGCAGAGCTTAGCCTGAAAACTAAACTCTCCGTACTCAAGTTGATCTTCATCCCCCCATAGTTACATACGATAATGAGTCGTGGAGGATGACTGAAAAGCTTCGAACCCGGGTAGAAGCTGGTGATATGAGCTTTCTTAGACGAGTCGCTGGCCTTATGCGTCTCGAAATGGTCCGGAATACAGACATCCGGGAGAGCCTTGGTATGCAGCTGCTGTTTCTTCAGATTGAGAAGTCACAGCTGCGATAGTTTGGCCATGTGTTGCGAATGCCTCCAGAACAGAAGGCCAAGCAACTGTTTCTTGCCAAACGGACTGGCAGCAGAAGGTCTAGGGGACGGCCAAGATTAAGTTGGTGCAAATACATGGAAGGAGTCTTTTCCAGATTCCAGCTGTTTTTTGCCGAAGCTCAGACGTTGGCACAGGATCGGGAACACGGGGAGCACTGTGTGACACGTCTACCTCTGGGACTCAGAAGGAGAAGCGGCCAAGGAAGGTGAAAGAAAAAGCATATAGTGATAGCGTGTCCATTAAAAGGTGATAGTGCTTCCTCAGTCAATAAGTTCTGTCTAACGATATTCAACCACTCATCACGCGCCAAGAAAAATAAAGTTGCCAAAATGTCCTTAATCGAGAAAGTCTGATAGACATTCCAAAGGGTATTCTATTCAATTTCCTATTTAACAACACAATACCTATAGGTAGGAGATAAATGTTGCGTGTAGTTTTCTGCTCACTTCTCATGCATTATGCTGTCTGCTATTTAAGCAACATGAGAGATTTCGATAATCCTAGGGAGTAGCATTTTACTTAGCTGTAGTAACGAGTAATCTTTATTCATCAAATGAAAGATTAACAACAGACTCGAGTAATTGATCAGCTGCATAATACATCCGCGAAACGAAGAGGCAAACTGCATCACCTGGTTGAAATTCAAGCATCCTAAATAACTTCAGCGGACATTATAAAGCGTACTGCTGAATTTTGTGAACATCAAAACTGACTGATGAGACCAGTCCAATCTGTTGTTTTCAGGACGGTACCCAGTACTTTGCAGCGTGGCAAACAGGAACCATCTCTCCCTTAAAGTTGATTGGATGATCAATATAATAATTCACCGACGATCATGTGATGTTCTTCATCCGGCAAGTGAAAAAGGGTTTCACTTATGGCCTATGGGTTCACTTATGGGTTTTTTAAAGTCCTGGTTTTGATCCCATGCGTAATATGTCGTTCATCGCAGTTTGTAGCTGCTTAAATTCAGTGTCTTATGAGCGGAAGAAATACGAATCATATTGTCGGCTTTCTTAAGAAAAAGACAAACTGAAAATACTCACTGCATTCACATAAAATCGAACGGTGGTAAAAATAACCAAACCCGCATGAAGAAGCTCAAAATAACCCGCATATTCGATAAACAACGGCTTTCAACGGCGATGAACCGGTGACGGTCGCAGACATCTGCAAGCTAGAGTAGAAAGT